TCTGAATCGATGGTGAAAGTGGCGGAGAGTTGTCATCACCTCAAACGGGTAAGTTAGCTGAAATTGATTCAAGGTTTATACTGACTTAACTTTTAGCTCAAATTGAATGAGTGTGAGCAACTAGACGACAGGGCTATCATGGCATTTGCTCAAAATTGCCGTAACATCCTCGAAATCGATCTCCACCAATGTAAGAATATTGGAAACGACCCAGTAACTAATCTCATCACACATGGAAATGCTCTCCGGGAACTTCGATTGGCAAATTGTGAATTGATTACCGATTCGGCATTCCTTAACCTGCCTCATAAAGCGATATACGATCATTTACGAATATTGGATCTTACAAGTTGCCACCGACTCACAGATGCTGCTGTTGAGAAGATCATAGCTGTTGCTCCAAGATTAAGGAATTTAGTCTTCGCAAAATGTAGGCTCTTGACGGACCATGCCGTCCATTCCATTAGCAGGCTGGGAAAAAATCTTCACTACCTTCATCTTGGACATTGTGGACAAATTACTGATGCTGCTGTCATTAAACTTGTTCAAGCATGCAATCGGATTCGTTATATCGATCTAGGTTGTTGTGTTCACCTCACAGATTTATCCGTCACAAAACTAGCTACTCTTCCTAAACTAAGGCGTATTGGGTTGGTCAAGTGTGTAAATATCACCGATGAAAGTGTTATAGCATTAGCCGTCGCACAAAAACAACGACAATTAGCTCACCGAGGACATCATATCGATGAACCAGCCTACAATGGGAGTTGTCTCGAAAGAGTACATCTTAGCTATTGTGCTAATTTAACACTCCAAGTAAGTGGAAGACAATTGTGCATGAGGATTTTTTGCTAACAAAATTACAGAGTATCATATTACTACTTAGAAATTGTTCGAAATTAACACATCTGAGTTTGACTGGTGTTCACGCTTTTCTTCGAAGAGATCTCGAACAGTTTTGTAGAGAGGCTCCCGCGGGTAAGTTCTTCACTTTATGCTTTCCTTCCATGTGTTGACATCATTTAGAATTTACCGACCATCAACGCAATGTATTTTGTGTCTTTTCCGGACCTGGTGTAAATGGTCTACGCAATTTTTTAACTCAAAATCTAACCATGGAGTCGGATCAGGTAGCTCCTGAAGACGAAGGAGCCCTTTCTATTGAAGGGGTTACGAATTCACAACAGCCTCTGGGGGCCCAAGATGACCAGATAATGTCTGGAATGATGAATGCTACTGCATTAAATCCCGATGAAAATGACGGTGATGACGACGAGGTGTTGGATGCAGTATTTCCTTGATACTCATTCGATTTACCACGCAACCCAGTATCTTATAGCACTTCATAAGCTATCACTTTAAGGATATTAGACATACGATACACTCTAAATAGAAGTCGGAGAACGTGCATCGATATATCCAATCATTGGGAAATGGAGTTAAGGAGTGGGCAAGGAATAATTAATGGACGTACATACCCAATTCAACACGAATCGTCTTTCGCATATCAGTCGGTTTTTGGACGGGAATGAATGAATGAATGAATACATGGAGGTTGTCTTCACGGTACATAGATATCTTTTCAACTAGCGAGCGGGCGATGGGATTGTAAAGGCGTAGTATTTGTATATACACATTTCTTGGCGCTTTGGGTGATGATGAATCGTGGATTTGGTGGAAGGCTTTTTGTTTTTTTTTTGCTAAAGTGAGTGCGATATGGAATGATTGATTGGGTGGATGGGATGGAATGGGCTTTATATGAGGGTATGGGTGGAGGTACATTTCTATTATATCTATCAATCAATCAATCAATCAATCGTTTCGCGGGTGGTCTACCTCGAGATTCGCTAGTAATGGATTGTAGATGATGGTATTGACTGGGATACATACCTGTGTCTAGAGAAAAGACGTACTGATCCGATGAGTGGTGAGACTGAATTCCCTCGCTGTTTGTCTTGTCTTGTCTTGTCTGTCTGATTAATTAATGGATGGATGGATGGATAGATGGATGGATAGATGGATAGATGGATGGATAGTAATACAGTAGGGTAGAAGTAGAATATGATGTCATGTTATGCTATGCTATGCGATTGATTCAGTCCAGTTCAGTTCTGTTCTGTTCGTTTTCATTCGCTTCAATGTGATGGATGTGATGTGATGATTTGATATAATGTGATAGGTACTAGGTAGGTAATTGTTTCTTCTTTTTCTTCTTCATTTTCATTTTCTTTTTCTTTTATCCTTTCGTTTGTTTGAGAAATCTTGAAATAGAGATGGGGCTGATTGGGTTGGACTGGTTGTCAGGGGGGTACGTCATTTGTGTGGTGTTGTGGTCTTGTGGTCTTGTGGTCTGGATTTTGGGATTGGGGGGTTGTGATTGGGAGTTGTGATTGGGGGGTTGTGATTCTGGGAAAGAGGGATAGAGTTTGGGGGGTAGGGGATGAGAAGGTGGGAAGGTGGGATGAATGGATAGAGAGAGAGAGAGAGAGAGAGAGAGAGAGAGAGAGAGAGATTGGTTGGGTAGGTTTGATTGGGTAGGTGGGTAGGTGAGTATATAAGGACTTGAATATCTCTTTCTTTCTGGATGGATGTAAAACTTTTACATACATACATACTTACTTACTTACTTACTTACATAATATACCTACCTACCTACCTACCTACCTTAGGAACCTACCTGGATCCAGAACGAATATACATACATACATACATATCAGAATCAGAATCAGATCGGATTGGATTTACTTGTTTTTTCGTCCATTTATCTATCTATCCTAAACTCAAAACTGGAAACTGGAAACTCATAACACGAAACTCGAAGTGAGCAAGATCAGAAGGAATTGATTTGTGGTATACAGACTCGTATACACATACATACATATACAAATATGCATTCTATTAAGTTCGTCTCTCTTTTTGGTTTGTGGTTTTGGTTTTGTGAGTTTGAGAGTTTGAGGGGGTGGGATTTTGAGGAGGTGGGATTGTGCTGCTGCTGCTGATGTTTGGAATGGGGGGATGAGGGGGAGAGGGAGGGGGAGAGTTTGTTTGAGATTTGAGATCAGGATTCGGGATCGGGATCTGGATCTGGATCTGGATGGATTTATTATTTCTTTGTTGCGAGTTGCTTGTTGCGAGATTTCATCTTGCTTGGAAGTTGATTTGGGGGTTCTTTCGTGGAACGGAATGGAATGGATTGTTGTTGTTTTAGAGATCTGGATGAGAAAGTTGCAAAGGTTGAAAGGTTGAGAGCATACTGATTCGGTGTGCTTGCTCTGTTTAGAAATGCCTCAAATTATGTTGCGGAGAAGACGAAGGCTGGGGGGAAGGAGAGTAGTAAGGAGATTAATAAGAGTGAGTTTTGTTTCTTTCCATCTTTGTCTCTTTTCTCCTCTGTTTTCCTGGTTCGGGTTCACCTGTCGTGGTCTTGTACTTCTGAAGATTCGTTCTCTGTTCACATTGAGTTCTCATGTTTGGGAGGGAATTGTGTGGCTAATAGGTTTGCGTGTTAGGTATAGCGAAAGATCGCAATATGCCCATTAGTACTCGTGTGCATGCGGCTGTGAAGGCGGTGGGTGATAAGATTGAGAAACATGGTCATGATGTATGGATACCCTTTTCTTTTTCTCGAGTGCTTGTGGGATGTTGAAGATGGAGTTGTCGTGTTTGGAGAGTTGGTGAGGTGTTTGGTGAGGGAATGTTGTGGTCAGTGGTGGTGTGGAAGGAGTGGATTGTTAGGGGCAAGGGGAATGAGAGTGAGAGTGAGAGCGAGGGAAAAGAAGGTTTGGGCTTCGAACTCTAGGAAGATAGGAGAGGAGAGGAGAAGGATAAAAGAGAGTAAGGGTAAAGTATATAAGCTAATAATTTGGGGGTGATAGGCAAAAGCGTCGTATCACAAGGAAGTCGTTAAGCATTAACGGGGTAGATTGAAAGTTTACGGGGTTGAAGAGAGCTTTAATGAACGGCGATGCTGACGTATTGAAGAGCTAGTGTAGGATTAAGCTGAGACATGAGTTGAGTCTCTGATTAGAGAAGGGAAAGGAGGTAGCTGGTCTGAATGAATGACGTGAGTTGTAGCGCTATACCTGGAGTTGATATCTTGGGGATTGGAAGTTCATTATTAGATATGGGCTATGAATCGATTGTCTTTTCAAATTGCTTGTTGATTGTTGTCTGTCAATTTCTGTCTGTCAATTCTATCAACCACGATATCCCAGTAGATATTGTGGTTTGAAACCCGCAGGTTTACTCATTAAATGATCGAATGTTGAGGTTATTTTTCAATTTACATTCTCAATTTTTTTTTTAAATTTCTTTTTCTTAAGTTTGAAGGAAAGCTAATTTACAAAGAACTTTCTTCTTCTTGTTTTCTACTTTTTTCGCTTGCCCACAACTCATTCCTCTCTTACATAGTATAAGGATATCAGTTGATTCATGTTGCTACAAAATCAATCTCATCATTCCCGAAAATCACATGCAAACTTCTACTCGAGATCTACAAATATATCATTATGGCAAAAGCAATTGTTGAATTCAAGGTCTATAGTGATGAAATATACCCAAATACTTGTGGCACTGTGGCAGAGAGGGCAGCTAGCATTTCATGAATAGATTGCACAAAGATTGTGTATACCCGCAGACAATCTAAAAATCATCTATCTTACAAATAACCTATCAAAAACGTTGCTCTACAGGTATATACCCCTAGACCTAAGACTAGAATTCGAATGTTGGAGAGTTCAAGTGAACCTGCGGTTTTGATTTTCAGTCTCAGAACATTCGCCCACCAAACCCTTCCTTGAAACACCCGCTTGCCCTTCTCCCAGACTTTCCATTTCACAAACGCCAAACAGATGACTAAAGTCGACCAAAGTCCAAAATTCCGTTGCGACATTCAAATATCTTCATTGTATGTGTACGTGTGGTCAATGGACTTCAATAGCACAGACTCTAAGACCTTCTAAACGTGAAAGCACTCAACTCATATATCCAGGTCTCCATTTCTAAAACTGACTAACAGAGCTGAAGAATTCTTCAAAATCGAGTCCATGTACAAGACTGGATCGATATCCAAGATGGCATTCACATTCAAGATAGGCTTCATTTCTACGATTGGTTTCATAGTCAAGATGATCCTGCCAGGCCCTTTCAAAAAGGGCTTGAACGCCGGCATAAACATTTCGAGTGACTTGAATGGGTGCTCCCGTGGGATCCCAGTGGAGATAAACACCCTTTTCTAGATGAAGAAAGCATCTCTCATCTTCTCTCATTGGGACTTCGACCTTTTGTTCCTTGTTTTGGGAAATAGAGTTTTCAGACCCGCGTTCTTCTGGATATGAAGGTAGAGACGAAGACGAAGAAGATGGCGAGACTTTCCCACTGGTAAACTCAAATGGTATTTCACCCTCGGATTCCACGTCGAAGAAATCTTCGCCCATCAATACTTGTGTGCCACCTTGGCCTCGGGTAATTGCGGAGACATTCAGCCTCACAGCATCCCCTAAAGCACACACTTGAAATTTTAATCCATGCCAGAAGTGTCTGTTGCCAGAATCTTCATGTTCCTTTATATAATCTTGAAAATCCTTTTCTAGTTGCAGCCCGTGGTTCAATCTATTGTTAAAATGAGACTGGATTCCAACGATAGGCAATCCGAAATTGGTCCCCCTCCCCCAAATCCAATTGTATCTTGGTGCATTAATTGGGCTCATGATAATCTCCCGGACAGAAGGATAGAGTGGCAAGAGATGATGCTCGTGTATTTCCCATCCAACCTTTCGCCCAGGCGGATTGCCAGGATCGCCCCAATTGACGATTGCAGTGTTTGTCTCACCAAGAAGGATATATTGGATACTGGAAATCTGTGGGCAGCACTGGGTAATGAAGCTCCACATATCTTTGCTTGCAATATTCTTCTCCTTATCTGCAGGGAGATCTTCCGGTTCCTCAATACGCACAAGAGCATTCCTTGCATTGCCGGCTTGTAAGTCGACGAAAGTCTTGTTAATATCGGGATCGGCTGCATGATAGCCACTACCTCTATCAGAGATCAAGAGTCGAGTGCCTTCAACTACCTCATATCTTCCATTATTTCCCGGTGGCTTCCACAATGGACGATACTCGATGCTGGAAGTATATGCTATGGACCTTAGCTTTGAGATGTTGAGGTCCAATCCCAAATCGCCATTGACCAAGGAAAAAACCACGGGATCCATAATCAAAGTATCGCGATTCATGTCGATGAAACCACGAACAACAACATAGAATAATCTCCCATCTGAATTCAAATAATAATTGTGTTCGTGTGGTATCATATGGGATCGAACCGGGTAACGAGCCTGGAGCCTTACACACTGTGTACTTCTGCAGTTCCCAAACGCGTGCGGCTTCACACCCAATTTGATTTCCCATTCATGCGATAATTGGATGTCGGGTATGATGTAGTTTTGCAGCCAGATTTCACGAGATTCCCGACAGGCAGATCGCAGGGGGGATTTCTCGGGCTGGGTCTCGTCTCCTCGGTAGAGGTCACTCCCATTTTCGTAGAAACAGAATTGCAAACTGGACTGTCCCCACGTCTCGGGGCGGTTGAGAAATCGATGGATTTGTGCCCGTGTGCTCATTGATGACATGTGGATGATGCGTGGTGCGGGTAAGCTGTATTCCCAGATTTTGGCTCGGATTGTGTAGGGGACTTCCTGGAAGCGATGGAATGAGTATTCGGCTTTTGGTTGTAAAAGGGGGGGGTGGGGTCGCCATGGTTTCTGACGGTTTCGTTGGATCGGACATGTTTCGTTGTGGGGATAGGAGACTGTGATTTGAGGTTTGATGTGAACGTATTTGTTTGGTATGATGATATAAGATATAGGATATTGGGAGTATGATGCTGAAGATGGCTGAAGATGCCAGAGATGTATTAAATGAGATGAACATATCAGAGGTAAGATACACTGGTAAGCCGTCGAATGTATAGTTATCGCATGTAAGATAAGATATCTGAAAGTAGATTGTATGAAGTAGGATCGAATAATGAACAATTCTAGAACAAGAAATATGGGAAAGCAGTCCGCTCTTATATACACAATTCAGAACAAGACTAAGACTACTCGACGAAAAAAAGTTCCTAGTATAGATTCCAGCTTTTCACTTTTAGTACCTGGTCTAGTCCAACGCTATTCTCTACTCAGGTACACTATTTCGTCATTGACACATATCAGATTTTATTAGGGGCATGAAAAATCTTCTAGGGTGATCTAGAGTTTTTTTTGGCTTTCTAGTATATAAGCATTTATGTGAAGATCACTACACGTGGGTTTTATGATCATCAGGATTGGAAAAGAATGATACTTTAATGAGATGTCTATTTTTGAAAGCTACGAGAGGCTTGGAAGGGTTTCCACCAGAAAGTAGTTTACTACGAGCCGATTTATATAGAATATTCTAATCAATATCCTATCTAATCCCAAAAATAAACGTTAACCATACCCATCACTCATATAAAGTTATACCACAGAAAAAAATTTCACATCTAACACACCCTCCCTACAAACACCAAAATCCCCAACATCTTCCCCCTAGCTCACAAATCCACCTAAACAACCAATCTCAAATCCACACACCATATTCTCTCCTTCCAAGAAATTCGTCGTGAACTCAAAGTTGAAGTTTCTCGGACAATGTTAGTATTTAGGATAGTTGATGGGGTACAGTTCGAAGCGAGCTAGGTATTTTAGCCCCCTAGGCCTTTAAAGTTTCTATAGTGGTTAAGCACGTGTATTACTAACTTACTTTAGAGCTTTTGGAGGTCGTTATTGAGGTAGGTTATGATTTTTCTTTTCTTTGAGGAGGAATGGGAGGAATGAGAGGGGTCTGGAGCATATGTGTAGAGTTAAGATTTGGAGACTTGGGATTGGGCACTTTGTGGGTTAGTGTTGGTTTGGGATTTTTTGTGGATAGTAGTAGTAGTAAATCCATTCTCGGTTCAGTCTATCTATTTCTTTATGGATACTGATTAACAATATGGAATACTGACTGGTACACATCGAGACATAGCACTCTATGAGAGTGCAAATTGAAAGATTATCCATCTTTACTAGAATCTAAACCATCATTTCCTCTTGCGAATTCTCTTCCTCTCTCATGACAATAGCTCACTCACAAAAAGCATAAAAATAATACTTCTTCCCCTCCACACCCATCTCTAGACCACTATTTTTAGCAGTAATCAGAGAACTCAGAATCCATGAGTTTATAAATTTCAACAACTACCCTACCTATAACTAACCGCATATCATCATATCCATGAACTTTCCCGCGATCCCATTCGCATTCAAGATATGATACCCATCGAATCTAGGAACAAATTCATAGTGGTATTCATCATTGATCTCTCGCAGCGCAGTATAGCAGTTCTCGAAGTAAATCAGTGGGAAGATTCCAGATTTCCTTTTCTATGGTGATGGTAACTAGGTATCCACGTCTATTATATTCAATGATGATCGGAGAGATACATACGAATATGCGTTGAATCAATTTGCAAAGGGACAGGAAGAAAGATGATCTAGATATTCGGGGTACCCATCTTAAGAGATGGATGAGGGTAGGCTCTTAGCTCTCGAAGAGCGAGGGAAATGCCAATTGTTTGATATGTGAGTTGAGTTATTTTGATGTTTAGAGTATGGTTAATCTTCGAGATAGATTTCGAACTTGAGATGATCTCAAAACGAGAAATAGATCGAATTTCTAAAATAACTCTTCCCAAAAGCACCACATGAGTTTTCCCACCTCTACTTCCACATCCACGACTCCATAACCAGACCATCCCAATACCTCAGTGGGAGAACCTCGAGCAACGTTCTCCCTATATAATTCTATTTTATTTCTCCCGCAATCATGAAATCGAATAGAACATGATGTATACAATATACAAAAGTGACACGACACGACACACACAATGAAATAAAACACTTAGGATTTAGACGTCACAGCTCCTCGTATGTAATACCTCAACATCAATCGTCCTAATAGATGTTCATTTAAGAGAGCTCCTAACCGGACGGCTTCCGGTGTACATCTGCATATGATTTTTTATGTTATGTGGCTTGACAGAGAGGGGAGTGTTGAAGAAGAGATTTCTAAAAGGTACTTGGAAAGCCTTAGATCGGGGAAACATACATACTGAACTTGTAGTGATTATAATGCACTGAGTAATTCGGATTAGTAGACTATATATGGATGGGTTGGCGTGATTGCGCGAAGATTCGAGTAGACGCCTGGAAGCCTTTCTTTTTGGCGCCCAAGAATATTTCTGTTAAACTTTGCTCCAAACTATTGGAAATCCAGGCGGTATTCACAGATAGATATTTTCGCTCTTTGAAACTGCATGAGAAGTATTTAAAGGTTGCAATTAATATTGAACAGTGAAAGTACTGAAGAGGTGACCTGATATTGTTAACCCACGTGTGCAAATGTAGGATTATTTACAAAGCTCCTTTCTCCCTCCTGCCTTTCTCTTCTTATGCCTCTCCTCGCACTCCTCAATTCTTCCATTTCATCTCACCTCCCCGCTCGCTCATCCCCTTCATGATCATCCAGACTCCTGTTAGCCTCCAACTCTCTTATCCTCTCTGAACGTCTCGGCTTAACATAAATCTCATACCCATCCCTCTTATCCTCCACTCTCCACCCCATCTCCTTGTTCCCCAACTCCACACATTCGTACGTAAAGTTTTCTCCCCATCTCTCCTTCCACCTCGTATTCAGAATCTTGATCTTCTGATCCCATCTAAAACATCCCTCCTTCAGCTCCAATCTCTTCAAATTACTCAAGCGGGAAATCATCTCCGTAGTGCTTTTGAATAGACAAGGTTCTCCTAGCATCAAAAACTTAAGCTTTTCCTCCATCTTAGCAATGTCGAGACCTCGAGATAACGGAATTTGGAAAATCTTCAACATTTGTAAACTCCCTTGGAACAGTTTGACCGCACGATCAGATTGTATGTATAGCGTGTCCTTTTCCCAATTAAAGTATATCGGATTCCTCAAACAATGTGCGAATTCGAGTCCATATTCCTTGCACGCAACTTCTCTCGCCATAATGTTAACATGTAGAAGTGCCGGTAAAGTGGTCTTTACAACGAGCTTTGCACTTTTGTATTTGCCCCCGTACTTCTCTCCTGCGTACCATTCCCGAGTCCATTTATCAGGTTCATCGACGAGAATCTCGACGGCCTTGAGAGAGATGATTCGGCCTTCGGGAAGAGCTTCTTTGAAAATCATGTTTTGTAGTTCAGGGGCTAGCTTTGCGAATTGATGAAACGTTGCTTTTTGGTTCACAGGACGTCGGGGTCGGATGTAGGCAGACATTTCGGTGGATCTGATATTATTCTCGAGAAGATGTTGACATGGTTGATTCATGATTTAGATGGAAGCGGGATACTCGCAGATGATGAGATCGGTGAGCTGTTGTTTTAAAGATCGAGGGATCTATATTGCGAAGCAAATAAAGAGGACCTCGAGAGTATCTGTCAATAGAATGTTAGAAATAAAGTGTTATAATGAGGCTTTCCAGTGCCTTTCATTCAAGTGGATAGAAAAGAATGGTAAAGACCAGAATGCGGTAATCCTTCGTAGTAAACTCCACGACTTACCAAATGAGATGACGGCGATCTTTCAAAAAGAATGCCAGATCGATTTGGGGCCGACTTGTAAAGTTGAAGATGATCCCATCTCAAAACTGATCTCCATTTCTAGGTAAAATGAAGAGACTGACGCGTTCGCGCCGTGATTTGTTATTCTCAGCGCGAATTGAAAAACGTTCAGCCTTTCCCCTTTACTCTCAAATCACATGTACAGCCTTGTGTAGGGCTGAGAGCCCGTGAATGTCATGGATCAATCTTGGGAAATTCTTTGATGAAAATGTGTGTAAGCGACTTGACTTGGAAGTAGTGAATATGTGATGTGGTAGCCTGGGTGGCCTGGGTAGCCTCGCGGTTTGCTCTTGCCCTTTGAACCGATTTGTGCCTTACACCCTCAGCTGGAGTTCAACGTACGTTGGCTCGATCAGGTGAATATCCAATCTTCATATCTTGGAGAATGTACGAACAACTATCAAACAGCCGGTAAAGATGATAACGATTGAGTACACAGACATTCAATGTTCTTTTCCGAGTTCGATTTATCTAGTATATATCCACGGTGCATATCTAGAATTGCCTTCTACTTTGCAGCTACCGCGAGAATATCTGCAACCAGCCTCATATTCACGGGACACTCAATACCCAACTCTTGTGCTCTTCTTACAATGTATCCATTGATATAATGGATTTCTGTTTCACTGCCCTTACTAACATCTTGAAGCATAGAACTTCTGTTTTGTGAAGTGGCCGAAGCAACATTCAAAATGGCGTTTCGCAAACTTTCTGTTGAAAATCTTTCTTTCAAGCCCGGAATTCCTTGAAGTTCTGGAAGAGAACAGAAGACTTGACTTATTTCGGATATCAAACCGTCAAAGTCACTTCTTATACCTCCGACCATGGAAGGTTCCACAATCATACCGTTTAAACAATCGTTCAAGGCAGTGAGAGGATTTATGACTGCATTTACAGCCAATTTTTGCAATTGAAGGAGTTTG